GCAAATTGGTTGAAACTATAGTAAAGAACAGAATTATCAGACACAAAGGTGAACATGATTTTTTGCAGAAAAGTCAACACAGCTTTTGTGAAGGGAAATCATGCCTCACCAATCTATTAGAATTCTTTGAGGAGGTCAACAAACATGTGGACAAGGGTGATCCAGTGAATATCATGTACTTGGACTTTCACAAGATCCCTCTCCAAAGGCTCTTCAGCAAAGTAAGCAGTCAGGGGATAAGAAGGGAGGTCCTCTCATGGATCAGTAACTAGTTAAAAGACAGGAAATAAAGAGTAGGAATAAACGGTCAGTTTACACAACGGAGAGAGGTAAATAGTGGTGTCCCCCAGGGATCTGTTCTGAGACCAGTGCTGTTCAACATATTCATAAATGAGTTGGAAAAAAGGGGTAAACAGTAAGGTGGCAAAGTTCGCAGATGATACAAAATTTCTCAAGATAGTTAAGTCCAAAGCAGACTGTGAAGAATTCCAAGGGGATCTCCTAAAACTGGGCGACTGGGCAACAAAATGGCAGAAGAAATTCAATGTTGATAAATGCAAAGTAATGCATATGGGAAAACATTATCCCAACTCTACATACAAAATGATGGGATCTAAATTAGCTGATACCACTCTAGAAAGAGAGCTTGGAGTCACTGTGGATAGTTCTCTGAAAAATCAGCGCAATGTACAGCAGTAGTCAAAAAAGGTAACAGAATTTTAGGAACCATTGGGAAAGGGATAGATAATAAGACAGTAAGTATCAAAATGCCACTATATAAATCCACGGTATGCCCACACCTTGAATACTGAGTACAGTTTGGTTGCCCCATCTCAAAAAAAATATATGAGAATTGGAAAATGGCAGAGAAGGGCAACAAAACAATTAAGGGTGTGGAACAGCTTCCATACGAGGAGAGATTAAAAAGACTGGGACTTTTCAGCTTGGAAAAGAAACAACTAAGGGGGCATATGATAGAGGGCAATAAAATGATGACTGTGTGGAGAAAGTGAATAAGGAACTGTTATTTATTCCTTCTCATAACAGAAGAACCAGGGATTAACCAATGAAATTAATAGGCAGAGAGTTTAAAACAAACAAAAAGAAGCACTTCTTCACAAAATGCACAGTCAACCTGTGGAACTCATTGCTAGGAGATGTTGTGAAGATTAAAACTATAATTGGTTTAGAAAAAGAATTAGATAAATTCATGGAGGACAGATCCATCAATGGATATTAGTTAAGATGGTCAGGGAGGCAACCTCATGCTCAACCAGAAGCTGGGAGTGGCTGATGGGGCATGGGTCACTTGATAATTGTTCGTTCCTTCTGAAGCACCTGGCATTGGCCACTGCTGGAAGAGAGGATACATATCCATGCTCATGATTCCATGGAGGAGCTGCCAGCTGAGATCCGCAGTGGGCCGTTGGACTATGGTGGAGATACATGCTGACCTACCGGGGCTCCCTGCCCTCCACAGGCAAAAAAGGTCCCGGTACTTGGGAGCATAGGTGCCAACTCCGGGGGTGCTCCAGCCCTGCTTAGCATACACCAGCAACCAGCTACCCCTTTCTCCCCAGTGCCTCCCCCGACCGTGATCAGCTGTTCTGTGGCATGCAGGAGGTGCTGGGGTCTGGGAGCAAGGTCTGGGCAGCTTGGGGGAGGGGGTGGAATGGGGTGTGGGGCAGGAAGAGGTGAGGTGGGGGTGTGGGCTTGGGATAAGAGATGGAGTGAGGGCGTGGCGAAGCAGGGATGGGAAGAGGCAGAGTGGGGTTGGGGTTTGGGGGAAAAGGTGGAGTGGGGACAGGGCCTGGGGCAGAGCGGGGGCAGGTCGAGCATCCCCTGGCACATTAGAAAGTCAGCACCTCTGCTTGGGAGAAAAACAACAAGGAGTCTGGTGGCATCTTAAAGACTTACATATTTATTTGGGCATAAGCTTTCGTGGGTAAAAAACTCACTTCTTCAGATGCATGGAGTAAAAATTACAGATACAGGCATAAATATATATTGGCACATGAAGAGAAGGGAGTTACCTTACAAGTGGAGAACCAATATTGAAGGTCAATTCAGACAGGGTGGGTGTGATCCACTCCCAATAATTGAGGAGGAGGTGTCGATACCAATAGAGGGAAAATTGCTTTTGTAGTGAGCCAGCCACTCCCAGTCCCTATTCAAGCCCAAATTGATGGTGTTAAGTTTGCAAAAGAATTGTAGCTCTGCACTTTCTCTTTGAAGTTTCTGCTTGGGAGGTTCATTGGACAGAGCTCTTGCCTCCACTCATGCCACGTACCCTGGTCCTGGATCATGAGGAGCAGGAAGGATGGTTTAGGTTGGACAGTAGGGAAAACTTCCTAACTGTCCGGATAGTTAAGCACTGGAATAAGTTGCCTAGGGAAGTTGTGGTATCTCCATCACGGAAGATTTTTTAAGAGCAGGTTAGACAAACACCTGTCAGGGATGATCTAGATAATACTTATTCCTGCCAGGAGTGCACGACACAGGACTAGAAGACCTCTTGAGGTCCCTTCCAGTCCTATGACTCTATGTCATCAGCACAAGCCAACAAGAGCACTCACAAGTCCAGAGGTAGCAGCAACATTTGAAGTGGGAGAGAAAGGGTCAGGAATGAGATTGGGATCTCGGTTGTGTCTCACCACCCACACCAACACCTGCACCTAGGTTTCACTGTGGGAGGAGGTGGCTACCAGGAGGTTGCAGACACTTTGCCTGCTGGTCAAGGTGGGGAAGGTTCCCCAGCCACTGTAAATAGAAAAGGAGGAAGCAGTGGCAGTAGTGATGGTTGGATGGGCCACAGCAGGTGGGTCTGCAGCCACCTGGGCTGCAGCCTTTAGAGCTGGTGGAAGGGACAGCAGGAGGATGGCAGTAGCAGCTGCTGCTGCAGAAGGAACCTTCTGTGCCAGGCTCTTGCCCTGCTCTTCTTGCTGACTGAGGAGGCTTCATTGATGGTGGTGCTTTTGGCAGAAGAGTCCCTTCCTGTGCCTTCTGCTGCCACACCAGTGGTGTTGGCAGAGGTATTGGTGATCCGCTGTGGTGGTGGATGGGACAGAAAGCTGAGGTGGGGCAACAATGTTGGCCAGGAAACCCTCCCTCAATCCCCTGGCCCAGATTGAGGGCCACCATTGAGGACAGGTCATGGGAACAGCCACCAGAGCCGGACATGTAAATAATGAAAGGGTGGTTGGGGAGAGAATGGAAGCTAACCACTCCTCTGCACTAGGCTGCATGGGGGAGGAGGTGGAGGGTGCAGGCAAACCTAAAGGATGGGGGGGACTACAACAAGCAGTGTGGGAGGTTACTCTGGCTGCACTGGGAGTTTAGGTGGGCATATATAAGTGTGGGTGAGAATGCAGCGAATGGGGGATCGAACAAAAGAGGGGAATTGCAAGCATGAAGAATATGCAGGTGCACAAGAAAAGGGGGGCCAGGTGAAGGGAGGCAGGCAGCAACAAACAGCAAGGAGAGAGGACAGACGAGGTAGAGGCAGGAGGCAACAAACAGTAAAGGGGACGGGCGGGCATGGCAAGAGAGGTAGGCAACAAAAAGGGTGGCCACTCATGCATCCACGGAATATGGGACTTCTGGAATAGTGTGGCCCACCCCCACTATTCTGCCCCCTGCCAGGGTACTCACATGGAGGACGCCATTTTGCAAAGCACCCATCCCGCCCACTCTGGTGTACATGTGAAGTCAAGCTGTTGGGAGCGGAGCAGCGCCCTCTGCAAAATGGCATCCTCCATGCGCCCACAATGATACTGGTCAAAACCATGTCTGGTTTTATATTACTGCTGGACAGGGACAAACCTGAGAAAAACAAGACTGTTCGGCTTAAAATGGACAAATGGCCTGCCTAGCAACAAACTGTGGGAGAGAGGGAATCACAGAGGGGGCCATGTAAGATGGGAGGGGCCACATAGGGTGACCAAATAGCAAGTGTGAAAAATCAGGCCACTTTTTTTTCTGGGGGTGGGTGGGTGATGGTATAATTGTACATATAAGACAAAGCTCCTAATATCCTATGTCTGGTCACCCTAGGGCCACATGACTCACAAAGGGAAGGGGGGCATGTGAGAAAAGGGGGGCAGCTTACTGCAAGGGGGAGGGGTCTGTGCTAGATGGGAGCAGTGAACCACAAAGGGCGCGGGGGGGGGATTTAGTGGGCAGGCAGAGGGAGCAGGGGGTCCATCAGCCCACTGCAAACTCGGAGAGGAGAAAGGGGAGGACAATGCGAGGGGGAACACATGCCCCCGTGTGCTAAGGTTGCCGCCTCTGAAGTACAAAAACCCCCCGAACAAACGGAGCCCGCAGGATGGTCCTGAGCCCACAGAACTGGGCAGCCGGCAGTGTACGCTGAGCACCCTGGCAGACCTCCCCGGACAGCTACTGCTAACTGCAAAGAAGGGCCGGTCCTGGGCAAACCTGGACAGGTGACAACCCTATGGTGGCGAGAAGTGAAAAGGCTGCTGCAGACGGTCACTTTGGTCAGAGGAAGCGGCGGGGGCGGGCAAGAGGTGGAGGCAGGGCTCCACGCCACTCCCCCTCCCCAGCAGCAGCAACACCAGCAGCCGCCTCCTCCTCCAGCGGCAGCAGCCCCAGCTCCCCTCCGCAAGCAGCCACTAGCCGGGGCCACGCTTGCCGAGGGCCAGGCGCATTGGCTGGAGGGGGCTGTCACTCTTCTCCCCCCCTCCCGCGCCCCGGGTGGAGGTGGGGAGGGCTCGGAGCGAGCGGCTGCTGCGTGCGCGAGCGAGCGAGTGGGAGACTCTGTTTTGGGTCGTCTTGCAAACAGTTGGGGAGAGTGAGCGTGGCAGGGAGCGCGGGGCTGAGCCGCCGCAGAGAGTGACCATGGCTGTCTCCTCCGCGCCTCCCGTCATCTCGGCCACTTCCAGCAGCGCCAGCAGCGGCGGCAGCGTGGGGGGGCCGGGGGGCTTGTTCCGGGCAGACCCCCTCTATTCCTCCAGCCCCTCCGAGTCCCCCCGGCTCACCAACAGCCTGGTCAACAGTTTCCTGGCTTCCAGCGGCGGCGGTGCGGGCACGGGAGGCGGCGGAGGGGGTGGCAGCAACGAGTGTAAGATGGTTGATCTGCACGGGGTGAAGGTGGCTTCTTTCCTGGTGGAGGGGCAGGAGCTGATCTGCCTGCCGCAGGTCTTTGATCTCTTCCTCAAGCACCTGGTGGGGGGGCTGCACACGGTCTACACCAAGCTGAAGCGGCTGGATATATCGCCCGTGGTGTGTACGGTGGAACAGGTCCGCATCCTGCGGGGGCTGGGCGCCATCCAGCCCGGCGTGAACCGCTGCAAGCTCATCACCAGGAAAGACTTCGAAACTTTGTACAACGACTGCACCAACGCCAGGTGAGCGGCAAACTTCGCTGTCACTCCTCCCGCCCCGGCTCGGCGCCTCTCCCTGCTGGCTGCCCACTGGCAAGGGTGGGTGCTCAGCCGCCTCCAGGGAGGGTGGGTGGGAGCCCGGGCACCTTGCGCTCCTCTGGCAGCCGGAGCCCTGGGCACAGTCACGCCCGCTCCAGGGAAACTTTGTTTTCGCGGGAGTCCCAGGCTCGGGGTGGGTGGTGAGCGTGCTCCCGAGCTGCTCGTGCCAGGCCAGCCCTGAGGCTCTTCTCTGTAAACAGAGCAAAGAGCCCGCTGCCGAGCTCTCCCGAGCCCGCTGCGTCCCCTCCAGGGCTCTGAGCGCTCCCTAGCGCGCCTTGCAAGGTGCCTACAGCCCTGCAGGTTCCGTGTTAGGGAAGATGAGCGCCCAGAAGTCCAGCCTATGGTGGGGCTCCGCTGCACGGCTATACCGGACGGTCTGTTGATAACGTGCAAACTGCCACTTACCCTGTGATGGTATCTTTGAGAGAGGGTCGAGATGCAGGATGCGCCAAAACTAAGCAATGCTTTAGAAACGGAAACCCCACGTTGGCACGTATACTCAGGTTGCGAATGGGGCAGTCTTCAGAGGATGCTTCCTTCACTTTGGCTAACTGTTAGACAAGTTTTCTGGACCGTATGGTCACCTTAAATCACCGTCTCTAACTGCAGAAGCAGTAGGAGAATGCAAATGCACTTTATGATGCTCGCTGCCAGAAGGGACTGTAGCAGAGTTAGATGGTGTAAAGGAGGCAATAAATTGTATGAAATCTGTTCTAGAGAAAGAGGAGTGATTTAGTGTAGGTGATTACACAAAATTCTTAAACTGTTGAACTTTCTTGCTGAGGTTTATTAAATCTGTGTGCCAGATAACTGCACTAAGCACGAACTTGGCAAATTATATGAAATGATTATTCACTTTCTCACAAATATAGTGTCTAGATAATCTTTCAAATGACTACATAGAAAGGACCTCAGTACTTTTTGCTTTAAGTTCTTAGCTGTATATTTTTTCTCTCACCGAGACTTATGATCTCTACTTGTTTGGGTTGTGAACATAACTTGTGATACAGAAGTTGTAAGTCTTGCAAATAAAATAATGATAGCCAAAGAACATGTGCTATATTGCCTGAGGAGTATGAGTAGTTTACAGACAAACTGTTGCTTAGTATAACTCTAGAATAATGGTACATTATTTAATCAAAGAGGTTTTACTGTTGTTATAGCCCTTGTCCTGTTGTGCTTAAATGACTAAACCCAAAAGCTGATTGTATTCATGGAAGATCCCTGCTGGGTTCTTCATACATGGGGGGTCAGAATCCTTGTTTGTGACCTCACAGTTCTTGCTTTAGAAATGATAATGATCTCATAAACAAAAAAACTCTCAAGGCTTAGTAGAAATATATAGTAAGAAGGGGTAAATTTATAAGAGAGAGAACTCTAGATGACATCCAGTAGTTCAACATTCAGCAATTTCTGAGGAAAAAACTCGGACTCATCTTTCTATCTTAACAAGAAACTTTATCTTTGCATATGCTGTTTACAAGTACATTGTTTAGGCCTGCCATGACTTACAGCAGGGAAAAGTTAACTTTCCATATTTGAAGACAGGTGGTTAGTTCTTACCACTTAGACTCTGCTATACGATGGTTTCATGTTTTAAGTAAATGCATGTACACGATGAAATTAAAAGTCTTGTTTCACTTATTTGGGGTCTAATCCTGCTTCCACTGCTATTGGCTTAAGTAAGAGCAGGTTTAGGCTTTTGATTCTTATGGTTTTTTCTCCTCATGTTGTTATGTTTTGTTCTCAATGATAAAGATGACATTTCAGATCTGCATTAATTCCATTCCTGCCTGTGTCTACGTGAACTCTATTGTTTTTCTTGCTCAGTTTCAGTTTCTCCTGCTGCGCATTTATTTCAACAAGTCGTACTCCTCTGTGACATCACAACTACTGCCATATCAAAGTTTTGATGTATAAGCAAGGGTTGTGACCACTGTATTTGAAAAAGATGGGAACAAAATTCTAAAAGGTACCTAGCATACCTTGCTTAAAATATCTTCGGCTTTTTGCAAAATATTCACAAAATCTTGGTGCCCAAACTCATATTAAAATAACATGTTTCTGAAATTTGACTGGCAAGTTGATCTCAGAAACACGTTTTTGAGCAATGCACACAAAACGACCAACTTGATTAGTGGAAATAAGTAATTGCACACAACTAAGTGGATGATACACACATGACTTGAAGATATGTGCACATTGACAAAAAATGGCTTGAGTTGCACAAAATATTGAAATAAGTGTTTATTTCAATTTGTTCTTCACCAGAATCACATGGCTGGGGCTGGAGAGGAGGTAAGATATACAAAGAGAGGCAAGGGCAGAGGAGCTCCAAATGAGAAAAGAGGAGCTGATAGATGCTGTAGGAGGGTTTGAAAGATGCAGCCAGAAGAGCCAAGAGATGCAGTCAGAAAAATATGGCTAGGGCATTGGGGAGAGAGACCAACAGGACTGAAATAAAGCGCGTACCTGTCCAAGGGCAAAAGCAACTCTCAGTTTAAAAGATTATACAGGAGAAAGCGCATGTGCCGTGTGTATAAGCCCCTTTTACCTAATTACGGAAATGAAATTTATCTTCATCTGTTTAGGGATAACTGCTACCAAGATATTTTTGAAGATATGTTTCACATTTAACGTCACCGCTGACTATCTCGCTGTTTATATGCAGTATTCTTTTCTTCTTTTGAAAATACCAATATCTGGAAATAAACTCACTGCTATCAATATGTTTTTGCATTCAGATCTACGCATGTAGTGCGTAATAGTGATTACGAGTGCATGTGAAACAAACTTTTTCCAAATGAATTATCTTAAAATTGAACGACTGCAGCTTAGCAATATTAATCGTATGGTATACTGATAATTTGCTTAACCCGACACTTAGTTTGCCGATCAAATTATTTATTGACCAGCCTAGTATACTTTATGTCCAACAATGTCTGATAAAAATAGATAAATTGTCATACGTAATGGAATTCTCTTGTCTCTTACTAGTTGTAACATATCCTGAACACTACCGTATACATTCTGTGAATTACATAATACATTTTAAAATTCATTTTGTCATACTGTGTAAAATAGTTGTATTCCTATACCTGTGATATCAGTGAAAAGTTAGAATAAAATATTTGAAGATGTGTTGTTCTACCACATTACTTAAGCATTTTATCCTGCAATTCCAAAATGTTGTACATTCCTTTTTTATCCTCTGAGTTACAAAAACAATTATATCGCAGATTACTATGTTGATTGTATTTAAAATCATGTTCAAATGCAGAGTCATACTCAAGAATTGCTGGAAATGTAATTAGATCTCATAGTTGATTTTTTTCTCTTTCTATGTTAGTGTGATTTTTAAAAACAAACAAACAAACAACTTATTTCCAACTTTGCATTTTGTGCTTTTGCATTAGAATGAAAAATATCGCTGTGTAGATTAATCAAAGAATGGACATATTTAACTCTTTTTTTTCTCACTCTTTGTCTCTGACACAGTATTTTTTTAATTGAACTTGTCTAGAGAGTTCTTAAGAATTATAGAGAAATGCATCTACAAGTGAAAGTTTTGGTTGGGGATTTTTCCTCCCTACCACCAAAGTGAGGATTTTTTGTGTGGTATAATGTTGTACACACATCACCATAAACAATGTTCTTAGCCTTAGTTGTCATTAGCCATCATTATATAATTTATTTTTAGGAACCATGAAATAAAACTTTTACCTTCTCATAAGTCAGTTCATTGTAAGTAGCAACTTCGAGAATGAGTGAGTCTTTTTACAAAGCCCTAATTAAGAAATAATTTATGATATTTTGGAAGATTACTCAAATCAGAGAACAACTGATTAATTCTAATTGTAGCATTATAAAGTTTATTCTAAGATTTTAAAGCAAAAGATGTATAATGTGGTTGTGTTATAACAACTTAATATACAATTACAGTAAGAACATTTGTACAAGAATGTATAATAGACCCTTAAAATCACAATTACATATGTATGATTCATATCCAACCAATGGAATATTTTCATAAGATTCTTCTGGGCATTTTTATTAGATGAATGCTGTAGTCTGTTGTGGTAGTACTGCTCTGGGTTGTCTGGTGAACATATAGTAAAATATTTCACATGAGAAAGTGTTTTCAGGTAAAGGGAACTACAGAGCAACACATGGCTGATTTTCTGTGACAAATTTAAAGTATTTTGTTAAGCTAATATTTTGTATTACTTTGGCTTGTTCACAAACAATTAAAGACTTTAGAAATGAATCTATGCAGTAAATGCAGACGTTTTATTTCATGGCATAATGAGGGTCTAGTCATTTTGTCTATTAAAAGCAAACCCATAGTCAACAATGCTCTAGTCTTTTATTAGAAGAATGATGTCAAGATTATAATTAAAGCAATCCAGTCATGTGCCACTGCACAGAGCTTCCATGTGTATATTGATTTTAAATGTACACTTACGCTTCCATAAACTACTTTGCCTTTGCCTAAGTAAATATTTTGTGTTAATTCATACTTGCCAAAAACTTGTTAGTTTAGGAGGTGACGTTATATTAAATTAAAAATAATCAATTTTCTGTTTTTTTTTTTCTTTTGTGGACAGGAGATTTATTTAAAACATTT